TAGGAATCGACAATCCCTCTGCATGCAGGGGCCATCACTGGGCTGCTTTGTACTATCGCATTCAGACACCGTGTTCTGAGCGTCTTTGTTATCGTCGCCTGATAAATAAACAGCCCTAAAATTACAGAACTTATTATGGTAATTGAGTGAAGAAAAGGAAATGCAAACCGTGCCTCACTATCTATTACATTGCCACTGTTAAAGTTGCCTAAACCTATGCTACTCAAATGATATTGTAATATTAGCCTTCTTTCTTTTTTCACAATGATTGTTTTCTGTCCATCTCAAGCTGGATGTCAGTTCATTTAGATTTACATCAAGTAGTAAATTAAAATAATCACTCAGCAAACACTCTCAGCTCAGTTTTCTCTTTCAGTCAGGAGTTGCGAGAGATGCTTGAAGCATTCAAGCAGAAAATATTGCTGTCTAGATATTTGTCCTCTGGGTGATAAAGGAGGCATTGTCTTGGGACCCACTCAGGCCTCGGAGCTGATAGTAGCTGTGCATCACAGCTGTGAAGTGTGCTTTGTTATGTGTCTGAGGATTAGGGTTCAGGACCTTGTTTTTCTTGAAATACCAGACTGATCAGAGCTGCATATGTTCAGGGGAAAGCAGAGGTCGATGGTTCTCTGTCCACATTTTTACTAGATTATTTTTGGACAGAACTCTGGGAGAATACCCTGCAGCTTAAACCATCCCAAGAGTTTTTCATATTCTGCATTATAACCGTCATGGAAAAAAGGCTGTAGTTTATCTATCTGCATTTGAAACAAAAGGCTACAGCATCACAGACATGCTGGGCTTTGGACCCACGCTGGAGCAGGCTGAATTTTGCTCTTTTGTGCTCCATGTACAGTACAGCTGCCCATTTAGAAGCACAAATGCACCTTGATATAATAACCAAATCCAAAGAGTGTCTGGCCTCGAGGGTAATACAGACCAACAGCTAATCTTAAGGCAGGGGTCCTGTAGAGAGCAAGGGTATGGGGAGACAAAAAAAAGGCTATTCCATGATTCTTAGCTGTCTGTTCCAGAAAAAAAAAAAAAAAAAAAAAAAAAAAAAAAAAAAAAAAGTGGACTTCTATCCATATTTTTGGCTATTAAAAAAATTAACCTGCCTTTTTTTTCCCCACCCCAGCCACAAAACAAACAAACCAAACCCCAAAAATCAAAGCAGTGTTTATTTTGGCAAAGGTGGTATGGACAGAAGTACTCATAGTGAAGATGCTGTGGTGAGTTAAGGCAATACTTCCATGACAATCCTGAGCAAAGGTTACCGGACCTGGACATGATCTGCTCATCCTCCTCTTTGTGGCAGCACAATGTGGGAGTTTATGGAACTGAGGCTTTGGGGCCAGCCTGTTGTCTTTTGGTGATACCTCAGGATCTAACTGGATTTTACTGATAAACAGAGGACTCTCTGTACTTCTTTTGTTGCAAGTCAGTGTGCACATACACATTGCAGATTCAGCTTTCAGTGTCACTCTGAATCTCTCCCTCCCAGAATGGAGCTCTGATCAATAGGCAGAATATTGCCTTTGAAACTATCTGTATTAATCACAGAACCCCCCTGATGGGATGGGAAGGAGAACAATATTTGCCCACACAAAGGATAATGCCTGGGGGTTGCTAGAAATACGTCAGTGGGCACAGCTTTTAACCCCATCAAGCTTCTGCACAAATTCTGAGGGCCACCATACATCTTTACTTTTAAAATTGAGCCTTTCCATCTACCATTCTTCCATGGAGCCTCATCCCTGCCCAGCACTGGGCCTGCACCTCTCTGTCATGGCTCTTCAGGTCAGTGGGATGGCTCAGGTACTTCCCTCTCCATGGAAAACTGAGATTGGAGCTGTGTGCTCCAGGGCACTCAGAAGGCAGTTTGGGACATCAGTTTGAGCTTAGAGGGTTTAATGAATGACATGAGGTTACTGTCATGACAGGGCACCAGCCTGGTCTCAGCAGTCACCAAACAGCTCCTGAACATGTTTGTGTCATTCCAGTCTTTTTGTGGATGCCATTGCCATTCAGAGGACGCTTTTGGCAATTTTCAGTTTTGGTGGGTGTGGCAGGAACAGTCTAGAAGTATTTTTTTCTGTCTAGACAAACCAGTGCCCAAGGCACAAAAAGGAGTAATTGGAGCAGGACATGGAATGAGGAATCTTGGTCAGAGATGTACCTTTGTAGTCATTGCTGGAATGAAGCTACATGCTGCCAATTTAATTCCAATTTTTGTTCTCCTCCTCTGGACACTGGTGCTGCTGGACACTGCTGCCCTGTGCTCCTTTCCTGAGGATTTATCCTCAGCATGTGCATGGACCAGGGCTGTGCCACGTGGAATGAGGGAAGTGATTCCTTGTCACTTCATCTGTGGCCCGGCAGAACTGATTTGCTGCAGTAGTGCCTGCAAAGAGCTGGCATCATGTGAAGGCATTTATCATTGGAGATATGCTGATAGCAAACCTTCAAAAAAATCATGGGCTAGCAGTCAGTGTGCCCTTTATTTATAAGGAGTCTTTTATATTTTGGTATTTTCCTTCACTACTGCTTCCTCCTTTCTTAGGAAATGACCATGGGGCATTGACCTCTGCTTTTGTGCTCTTAGAAATCCTCCCTGTTTTATTTGTCTTCTTTTTTTTTCTCTTACTAGGTTTTTTTAAATGCAATTTGGTTTTCTTTTTCCATGCTTTGAAAAGGTTTGTTTTACCCTTCCTCACTCATGCTAGCCCAGCCATTCATCAGTCCTCTTTCCGCCTCAAGTTGTTGCTACTGATGGGATTCCTTTATTACTACACCTTTCATGTGTTTTCCCCCTTCTTTCCTAAACTTTCTTGTTTGTCTGTCTCATATTTATCTTCTTCCTATATCCTGGTAAAATGTATTAGTGTTACCACTTACTTTCCTCTCTAATCCCTTTCCCAACACATCTTCTCATGACTTTGGGGGATTTTTAGCTGAAAATATAAATCAAGCTCCTATTCCAAAGCTGGAAAAAAGAAAGGGAAGTTCTCTTGTTGATTGCTTTAAAAAAAAAAAAAAAAAAAAAAGACAATTTCTTGAATGAAGAAAAAAGAAATCCTGCTGGGGTATGGGGTAAAATGCAGCTCCTGGTATGAACTAACACCAGAGAGGCAGAGACATGAAACCTTCCCCTGCTGGTACCTGTTCCCTCGGCTCACATGGAGGAGACAGAGGGGCCAGAACATTTCAGAGTGAAAACTGTCATACCAGTAATTGCATTATCTTCAAGGGTTTATATCAGCTGAAAATCAAGTCTCAGAGTTTTACCTGATTTGAGTTTTTATGGGAAGAAGTGTTTACACAGGTCTATCATGATGCTTACTTAATTACTTGAAGCACACATTGTTTTTTAGACATCTCAATACCAGTAAGAATGTGGAATAGCTGAAGTTATCAAAATATTGACATAAAACCCTACACAAAGTGTGGCACCATTGTTTGTGAGTGGTGTGGCTTGGGTTTTTCTGCTGCTGTCACCAACTGCCATCAGAGCCCTGTATGAAACCAGGCACAGGAAGGGGGAATTCCCCTAGTTCTTTTCAATTAAAAGCAAACAAAAAAAGGAGAGCTAATTTCCTGACTGCAGGAAAAGAACTGCTGGGGTAGAAGGTTACCGAGGCCTCTGGCTCCTTGTGTAGAGCTGAAGAGAAGTATTCAGAGAGTTCAAACACAAGTAGGAGATCTCTGAGCACAGGAAACAACAATGCAGTGTGGGGTGAGAAAATTCAGCAGAGAGCAGGAAGACATTACCTTATCCCATGTGCATAAAGCCCTGGCAGGAGAGTGATCCCACAAATCCTTATGGTTATAAGCTCTTGCTAATTTGAGAAGTGTCAGGAATGGCAGTGTGATTTTCCCCTCAGCTGTTGGGATCTCGGGGTGTGTATCTGATTAGATGGCACCTTCCAGGAACACAAGCAAAAGTCTCTGTGCAGAGCCTGGCAGAATGGCATTGCTTTGGTATAAATAGAGGATCTTTATTTTATTTATTTGATACCTAACATCTTTGCTAGGTAACAAAGTCTGTGTTGTGGCTGCTGCTGTGGGACATGAAGAACTGCACCTGTTCTCTGGTGTAGCCATTGTGAATTGACATCAGGATAAAAAATACATCCATCCCTGGTGCCTTCCTGCTGGTGATCCACAAGGATCTCTGATGTACTTCTAGTTCAGTCTTAGGAAATCCTGGAAGTATGCAAGCTGTAGGGAAAACCAGGTGCCTTGCACTTGAAGGCTTCCTCCCTCTAATAACAGAAATGTTACCTTGGTGTTCTCCTTGACAGTGGGCCCTCACGGTTCCCTTTTGCATGGGAAGTCAGGCAGTTTCTGAGCAGTGTCTGCATATTCCATACTAAAAGGGCAGGTGAAAAGGCAGCCTTGGCTGCAGCTGCTACCTGGAAATCTGGAGGGCATTGTTTTCCTTATTTCATCTGTTGCTAGTCAGCTGGAAAGCACAGTGACCTATGAGTAATGTGGTCACCCACAGCTCATGCTGATAAAACCTTTACACTGCTGCCTCTTGCCATCTCTCCTTCTCTATCTCTCTGAGATGTTCTGATCCAATCTTGACTTCCTTTGAGGTAGGGCACTCTGTCTTAATGTCCTAACCCCCTTGGAGAGTCAGAAAGAAATGATTTTGAGATGGTTTTTTGTTGTCTTTTTACCTGATCAACTTGTCTGCAGGGCTTTTATACCAGAAAGGAGGTGACTCTATGGCCATAACCCTGGAGCCCTTTTAGGACAGTGTTTCTCTCAATTAGTGGCTGCTGCTGAAGGCAAAGCAGAGGAATTTCCAAATCCGAGGATATCAATTTGGCCCTATGGGCAAACCACCAGGTGTAACCCCCTAGAGTTGGGAGGTAGCAAATCTCAATCGGTTTTTGGTCTCTCCACCTTTTGGACAGCACTGGGCAGTCACCTGGCATGTCTGCAATTCTTGTTTCCATCACTAATAAATTTTTCTTGTTTACTCATTACAGATCAGCATGCTGGATTTTATGGCACATTTCTAGAGCTGAGGGACAACTGTCTGGGAATTTCCAGGTAATTGCCATTTCTTCTGCTTCTTTCATGAGCTGCACTGGATGTTGTGACCTTCTCCTTGATCTCAGGCTGCAGATCTCTCTCCTAATCCTCTCAATTGATAGCCTCATGATTAGATTGTTGTCTTGAGTTGCATCTTTGAATGCAAAGCAAAGGATATTCTGGGTCCCACCAGGAGAGTTTGAGCAGGAACCTACAGACTCCCAATCCCTGAGGGGATTTTGCTTGCACTTCCTAAAGATATAAATGGTTGAACGCTTGCTGGATGAAGAACTGTTTCTGTCTGTGTGATCCTACCTTACCTGTGCTTAGTGTTGGAACTCAACTTTCTTGTGACAGAAAAACTGTCACTGTGCAGAAAAACTGCACAGTCTTCGCCTATTTTTTGCATTTTTAAAGGGCTGAGATTTACCGTGGATTTTAGTGGCTGGTTCTATACTGTTTCATATTTACATCATCTTAATTTCTTTGAGAGACTCCAGATTCAAGTGAGGCAGTGTTACAGTGGGGACCTACAAAAGAGCACTGGGTGTTTTGAGGGCCACCACACCATGGGCACACCAAGCTTCAGCCGTGGCAGCAGCAGCTTTGTGCCCTGCCTGACAAGGTTTTCAAGACCCAGAGAAAAACAGAGTGTTTTTCAAGCTGGCACTGGTCCATCTCAGTATGATAATGTGGGTATTGTGAATTCCTTGGGGCAGGGACTGTGGTTTTCCATATGTCTTGAGTTGCTCCAAGATTGTGGCTTGCATTCTGTGAACCAAAGCTAATAAATCAAAGCCAGTTTTTTCTCATGTGCTTCAAAACCTACTCCATTTTGGAACAGGAAAACCACGTACAGCTCACTGCAGGCTTTGTCAAATTATTCCTCCCCTTCACACTTGGGCTCTTCTTCATTTTCCACACACTTAATACTCACCCAGCTCCTTTCTGTAACTGGCAGCTGATCCAATTACACACTAGAGGTAGAAAAACTGAAGTCTTACAGTTCAAATGTGGAATGATATGCATAGTCACTTTGTCACTCAAATCCTTTAAAAAAAATAAAAAGGAAAGGAAAGAAAACTCAGACTGGCTGGCCATAATTAAGGGCAGAAAATAGAGCACACACTTAATATGCCCCTGGTTTGCCAATACTAGGATGTCACAAGTACCAATCAGGAAGCCAGAGCCATGTGGCTTCCCAGATAAAAACGCTGGCTTTTTTACTTCTGGGGCTACAGTTCGAATCCAGCTTAAGGTTCTAAATGAGATGAGACCCTTAACCTATGCCAAAACTGGGGATCCCTCCAGGTCACAGCTGAGGTTATTGGCAGGTCACTGTGATTAAGCCTGTCTTCTGTTGCCTTCAGCACACTGAATGGCATAAATAAAGGGATTGAGGTCCAAGCCCTGCCACAATGCCAAGAAGCCCTGAGGTATTAGAGATGATAATGAAAGCCTGGCAATAATGACCCACATTGAGTTAGAGGTAACGTTAGGATGAGCCTAACAGGTACCCCTTGCTCACCCTGTTGCCACTGGACTGCTGTGTGTGTTGTATGCCTGCTTCCAGAATTGCATATTTGGAGAATTCTGATTCAGATTCTCAGCTGGATTTGTGTTCAGGCAGCATTTTGCATTCAGCTTGTAAAACTGCATAGCAGTACTAAAAATGTAGGAACCTTCAAAGTCTCCAAGCTCCTCCAGCTCCCACCAGAGAGCCAGAGATGAGATTCCCACATGACAAAAAACAAGCAATAATTAAAAATCCCTATTTTGCCCAAAGAATTCCTTTGTTCAAGGTATGTAAATGTCTTTGCCTGCTTATAAGTTATTTCATTTTTGATAGTTCCTTAGCTCTGTAATAGGAGCTTGGGAATAGAGGAGTCTGAAAGGAGTGTTACTCTGAAACAAAACACCTGTCTTTCAGTCAAGGCTAAATTGACAAGCAACAATTTAGTTGTCTAAACTCAGAGCTTTCAGGATTTCAGACTACATAAATGTCAAGATGCCTAGGTAGGGCTCAAAGGTGAGCGACAATGTAGGCAAATATACATTGGAACTTCAATTATCCAACCCCTGATCACTCTCAGTTACCTGAAGTTTAAACATGTCTGCTTTCACTCTAGCTTCTACATTTTTCTGTAAAAACCCTTTGTACTGAGTCACCTGTCTTTGCCCAGTGGAGTCTGTAAAGTTTTAAGAGCTCTTCTCCAGGGGAGCTTAGTGTGTCTGCCAGATTACAACCCTTCTCTGATGGAGCCTGTAATTATTTCTTCATGTTATCTGGTGCATTTGAATATTAGTATTAAAATCAATAAATTACTGTTTTCAGCTTTGCTGTCCCAGCCACATTCCCCTTTTCCATAGGCTTGATGTCACTGAGGCACCTTCCTCCTGACAAAGAGTGTACCTGTATGGAAATGCATTGAAACCTAATTTGAAATTCTTTAATGATACCCTGATGGGAGACTGTGTCCTCTGATGAGCAGCCAGAGGGTGGCATGGACTTTGATACTTAGCAATAGTCACCATTATTGTACCGAATTCTTCCCTTCATTGCTCTTCTGTAAAATCCTTGGCATTGACTGACATCCAAGTGCCAAATATGTCTTCGTTTCCACGGTTTAGAAGGTTATAAAGCTGCTGAGACCCAATCAAGACCTTCTGAGAAATTTTGCTTTACATTTTCTTGACTTCAATATATCCCAGTTACTTTTGAGGGGTTTGCTGTCATTTGAGAGGTAGCAGTTCACATTGTCAGGTCCCTGCACCAGCTACAGAATTAAAAGTTTTGAGCTGGCAGGAAAGTATGTGAGAACTCCTCCCCTCCTTTGGCATATTTATGTTTTCCAGCCTCCTTTTCGCCCCGTTCTTGCCTTACACTTTCCACTTTTAGTTTCTCCTAGTGCTCCCTAATGTCATCTGTTCTCTCTGAGGGATGAAGTGAGTCCCTTTCCTTTTCTCCTTGCTCTCCAGCAAGCATTTTCCTCTTTATCCTTCAGAGGAGGTACCTAAACCAGAGTAAGGAAAGGAGATTTTTGTTTCATCCCCCAAAGAGAATCTGAGTAGGCCAGTGTGCTGGGCAGAGCCTTCTGGGGAATGAGGGATGGAATGCACAAATCTGGGCTGAGGTCCCTTTCCAGAGACACATTCCATGGTGGCACTGGGGGGATGAAAGCTGCTGTGCAAGTGCTGCTTCCTCTGCAGTGTGGGATTTTGGGGTAGGATGAGCCCCCTAAAAAATAAACCAGCCCCCCTGAGGAAGAAAAAGGGGATTTCAGGCCAGGTCAGGCAATGTCTGCCTTCCCTTTAGCTGAAGGCAAAGAGCTTGATCTCAGCAGAACAAATGGCATAAGACATGGAGGATCCAGCATTGCACAGGAAAGGAAAATCGTGTTCTCCACTGAAAGCAGAGTTGCACAACTGAACCAAAAGGCAAAATGCAATCCAGTCATCTGTTGCTTTGGGAATGGAAAGAAAACAAAATGAAATGGGGATATTAAATTGTAAGTTTTGTGGGTAAAGAGAAATCTTATTTGCCTGGCAGCAAACTAGTATTGCCAAGAAAATACAGCAACACAAGAAGAGGAGAGAGTGCCCATTTCAATGTTTAGGAAGTTCTGGTGTCGTAGGTATTTCATGACCATCAAAAATTGAAATAAATTAAAGTTCCACTTTAATTGAATTACACAATGACATCAATTTAAACATTAGTAAACAGATGCAATTCTGTGCAATGCTTTAAATTGCATTTTCTCACATATGCATTTAATTTAAATTTATTGAGATGGTTATTTATGTTAATAAAATAATTAAAAGCAGTTATTTAAGACTAACTATGAAGTAGCTGTGTAACTACCTATATTAATAAGACAGTTAGTTAAGGGATAATGTCTATTGCTTTATGGTGTAATTGCAATAAACAGCTGCTGAGTTTGATTAAGAGCTGAAGGGGAGCTAAAGTGTTTGAGCAATCTCAGAAGCTATTTGTTGTAAGTGTACTACAAAGCAATAGTGATTATTCCTATTATACAAAAAGCTATACCATAAACATTAAAATATAGCACGAGATACTTTTTTCTTGGGTTGTTCCAGCATCTCCATGGGAATGGTGGGGCTGGAGAAGGAGAGCTGGGCTTTAGTAGAGAAGAGGCATGGGAGGGGCAATAATTTTGTCAAACAATTTTGCTCATACCCAGGATCACCCCTGTGTGAGAAAACCAGGAAGGGCACAGTCTGTGCTTGTGAGCTGTGTTTTTTCAGGGGTGCCATCATTTGAAAGCCTCTGGCCAAATCCCTTTCCAATTTATAAAAAACTTTCAACCATGGCTCTGAGTCTGACTTAGGAATTTCTTCAGCTTTTTGTTGGAGTATAAACAGGAGAGCTGAGCATAAAGGAAAACCCCTTCTGTAACTTTGACAATGAAATGGCCACTGCCACTCCATAACTCCATCACTGACACATGGAGCACCCAGTTCCCAAGAATATCCTGCTTTATGGCACTGACACATACCTAAACTACAGACCATTAATTTCAGTGGGATCAAGGAAGCAAATATTTCTGTTGTTATTGACAGACTCCATATTCTTCTACTCTGGACTTGTGCATAAAACATTTGCCCTCAAAATTTCTGCTGTGTTAATGTCCCACAAATTTAATAGCAAGTAAGGAAAAGAGGGGCTTAATTACTTAGAAGTAATCTTTTATTTCACCTTTAATTTGAGAACACCTTTTAATGGTTAACTCTGAGGCTTTAATTGAAGCACAAATGGACAGGGCAATCCTTGACCTTCTGCTCCTCATTCCTTTACCTCTCTCAGAGACTATCAAGGCTGTGAAATGCTGCCAAGCAAGATACAACAGATAGGGATCTTGCATATTTAGGGCCTAGAACAAGAGTTTGTGGTGGTGGGGGTAAAAATGTGTTCTGGGTGTCCCACTTCAGGCCCTGAGCTCCTTTTGACATTGTTGGGAATCATTCAGGGAAGTTCTCACTTTCAGCCTAACCCAAAC